TATGTTACTTTAAAATAAAATTTTTGTTTGTCTTTTGGGCCACTCCCCACGATGCTCAAGGGTTACTTCTGGCTCTCCACTCAGGAATCACTCCTCCTGGGGCTTGGAGTGACCACATGGGGGGCTGGGATATAACTTGGGTCAGCTAGGTGCAAGGCAAACACCCGACCCATTGTACCATCGCTCTGTCCTTTAACATAAAAATTTTAAGATTATTTTCTAAAGACTTCTGTTATTAAGAATGTTATTACTTAATTTTAATGTTTTTAAATAAACTGTCCTGGAGTGCTTCTTCTAGTCCCACGTTGGCTATACTAAAAGTCGTTATTGATTTGTTTTCTTTCTTTCTTTTTATCCCTGCCTACTGTTCTTTTACTCTAGGTAGTTAGGGATGCTGAGGGCTGGGGTGTCCTCCACAGCTCCCTCTGCTGGTAGCTCCCGGGCGAAACTTCGTGGCTATTTGCAACATGTTAAAGGCGCCACAGCCCTCGCGGCAGGGGATGCCAGTTCTTAAATCTGTCTTAGAAGAGGACTTTCATTCTGACTTCTCCATCCTCTCCTTTAGCGGTTTCTCCAAAATAAAGATTGCACTATCCTGACCTCTGTCCTCCGCGATTTCTCTCACTTGGCATTTGGTGTCAGCATTGCGCTGTATTCCGCGAAGGGCCAATTAGGATGTTCAGATACAGCAGACGAGAGTGCCAGAACTCGTCTCTAATCATTTCCTTTTCCAGGAAACCCACCTAGACGAGAGCTACAGCTTTCAGAAAAGCCGTCGGTGGCCGGAAAATCTTACTAAAACGCTTGCCTCGCCCACAGTTCACCCAGGTGTGATCCCCGACATCGCAAGACCCGTTTGGAGTGATCACTGAGCGTAGAGCCAGAAGTAAGCCCCGAGCACAGTGCGGTGTGGGAAGAGAGAAAAAAAGAGAATCAGCGGGAGGCTTTATCCTCCGTTACGTACGGAATGGGCATCTTTCCAAGATGGCGTCCCGCAGACAGAAACACTTAAAGAGCGCAGCCATGTTAGTGGGCGTGGCTATGTTCTCCGCCCGACAGTGGCTCTAACGGAGACAGTACAATGGCCTCAGAACGTAACGGCCATGTTGACAGTGGGCGGCATGCGGCTTCCAAATTAGTACAGAGCATGCGCAACGCAACACTCTAGCTGGGACAAACGAAAGGTCTGCCGGAAGTGAAAATGGTCCTCGAAAGCTTTCTCGCCGCTGCCGTTAAGAGCATCTGGACAATTTGATTCCCCAGAGGTCTCTGAGGTGATTTCACTGGTCGTGATTCCGTGTCCTCCGTGCTGAAGGGTTGTGTTCTTTGGACTCGGGGTAGGGGTGTGTGCGGTGACCGTTGTCTGTGGTCAGTGATGTCTGAGGTTATGATGGGGATTTTTTTGAGCTGAAGAATGGGACTTGTGGGCTGAGGGATGGAAGTTTATGGTCAGTGACAGGGCTGTAGAAGTCGAAGTCCAAGGATTTAAGGTTGTAACATTTTCTTTATCGTTCAAATCCCAGTGATTGTGGATTTCAACTTAAAAAAAAATTCCAAAAGTAATTTAGAAATGCGTTTTCTATTTACAGAATGCCTCTGAGGTAATTCTCAATATAAAAATTGCTTTCTGGGTCTGTGGTGTAGCGTGCATTCCTCGCAAGTGTGAGGTCTGGGTCCATCCCCAGCACCAAATATAAATAATAAAACAAAATTTCCTTTGTGGTCTAATCGAAACCAGTGTGTTTTCTATTGTATCATATTGTCTACGAGATATATGTATTCTAATTACAGTGGGAGTTAAATTGACAGTGGAAGGGGGTTTGTGTATTCTTTTTTGGTCACTTTCTGCTTTGTATATTTCAGACTTTTTTTAACTCATGATTTTTTTAAATCATTGTACTCCCCATAAGAAAAGTATCGAGGTCTTTTTATTTGCTATATTAAAAACAGAGTAGAGTGTTTGAGAGATAGCTCAGTAGGCTTGAATGCATATTTTCTTTGCCCAATGCCTGGGTTCCACCTGGCATACTACATGTTGTCCCCACCTCCAGCACCTGGGAAAAATACCTCCAGGTCAGACTCCAAACATTATATTTTTTGTTTGCCTAAAAATTCCCCAAGAGGATGAATTGAACCTTTACCAGCGAAATGTTGACATATTTAAACTATTGTTTAGAAATTGCACGTATATTTTTAATACTTTCAACTAAATTATTTTTTAAAAATATAGCAATTCTGGAGGCTGGAGCAGTATACAGCATGTAGGACTTTTTCCTTGCATATGACAGACCTGGGTTTGATTCCCTCTCCCTCCCCAAACTCCCCCCCCCCACACACACACACACCAGCCTGCCAGAAGTAAGCTCTGAGCATTGCCAGGTGTGGACCAAAAACAAAAAAATAGCAATTCAGACAGCCACCAATTGGTCATACAAGAATTCATTTCCACAAAGGCACTCCAGTAATACTTACTTTGTTTCATTTTGTTTTGGTTTTGGGGACTACTAGAAAGCATATGGCTCAACCCTTGACCTATTCCGCTGGTTCCTGGTTGTGTGTTAAAGTGTGGGTGCATTTTGTGATTGAGAACCTCCTTCCCAGGCTGCCTGTTCAGCTACAGGCTAGTTGGTGATCAGTGATCCTTTATTCAAGGCTCACAGTATTATGTAGAAATTGAGAAGGATGGGTTCACATAGGTGTGGTTGAACATTATAACAATAAATAGATGTAAAGCCCTTTTTCAGGGGAAGACATTATAACAAGAAATAGATGCAAAGCCATTTTTCAAGGGAAGTTCTAGGAGATTAACTCGAGGACAGAATCTCATCTGGGGGATTCAGCACTCTAGATAACTAGGAGGTCTGCTTAAGGTTCCATCTAAGTGCGTGTTGCTTTCTCTTTTCTTTAGCTGGTAAGTAAAAGTAAGTAAAGTAAGTAAAGGCCCTCCCGTTGATCGTCGATTTGCTCGAGCGGGCCCAGTAACGTCTCCATTGGAGACTTTGTTGTTACTGTGTCTGGCATATCGAATACTCTCGGTAGCTTGCCGGGCTCTCCGAGAGGGGCGGAGGAATCGAACTCGGGTCGGCCATGTTGGCCGCTTGTAAGGCGAACGCCCTACCCGCTGTGCTATCGCTCCAGCCCCCACTTTAGCTGGTAATCCATTTAAATAATTATACTAAATTTACTTCTTATTAATCTTTCTAGTCATTTTGGATGAACACTGAAAGAGCTATATTGAGCTTAAAGGATGGCTCTTCCTGGGGACATCTCACTAAATATCCAATACTACAGTCCTCAGTCCAGGTTAATCTTTCCTAACCCCAGCAGGGTCCTTATTCAGTTACTTCTTTTTACGTCATGACAGACTTTGTTCCATGACCGCGCTCTTAACTTATTATACTTCTTATGGTGCTTAGCTTGTCCATTTCCGATGCCAGGGTAGCTAACAGCTTGCCTTGGGTCTATCCAAGTCCATCGCCAGGACCCTCCTTTTGGGATTAGTAGGAAATAAGGGCAACAGAGGCTTAATTCAGTAAATATGTTGGATGCCCAGGAGTAAATATTATTTGGAGACAATTAACTCATGTCTTCCTTTGTCTATACAAAAAGGACATTGCTGAACCATGCGAAGGACATAAAGGAAAGAGAAAAAGCAATATTGCACTTACATATACAAAATCCAGAGCTCTTAGAAGAATTTAACATTACAAAGTACAGGTCTGATTTGGGGGTATAAGTGATTAACAGATAGGGGAAGAAAGCAAAAAGGAGAGGTTAAAGATAAACACAGAGGATTAGGAGTGCCTGGTGGAATTGGGTGTGCCTCAGGAGCACTGTGATGGATACAACTCAATAAACCTCAGCTCCCTGCTGGAGGAGCAAGAACAAACCAGTTATCCAACACCTGGTTATTATTTATTTATTTATTTATTTATTGCTTTTTGGGTCACACCTGGAGATGCACAGGGGTTACTCCTGGCTCTGTACTCAGGAATTACTCCTGGCAGTGCTCGGGGGACCATATGGGATACTGGGAATCGAACCTGGGTCTGCCATGTGCAAGTCAAACACCCTACCCACTGTGCTATCACTCCAGTCTCTGGTTATTTTTTCAAGTGTTTAGAAATAGATGGAGAAACTGTATCTGATTGGGGGTTTTGTTTGTTTGTTTTGTTTTGTTTTTTGGACTACACCTAGGGGTACTTGGAGGTTACTCCTGGCTCTGCACTCAAATTTATTCCTGGTAGGGCATGGGGGACTGTATGGGATACTGGGATTGAACTTGTATTGGCCATGTGCAAGGCAAGCTCCTAATCTCCAGTACTGTCACTCCAGCCCTGTATCTGATTGTTCAGTGCATTTTTCTGATTACTGATATCTTTTTGGTATATTTGTGATTAACTCTCATTTACATTTCCTTTGCTATGATAGGAGGGATAGAACAACAGATAGGGTTCTTCCCTTATAGCAAGTGCTGGAAACCTGCAACCTTGCTGTTTGTTTTGATATTAGGACCTCCTGGTGCTCAGGGGCAGTCAGGGCTATGCCTGGCATTGCTGGAGGTGTGGAATCATGCAGTGCCAAGGAGCAAACTCAGACCTCTCACGTGCACTCTACCATTTGAGCCATATCCTAAGCCCTAGGCTGAGATTTTGTTTTATTTTCTTTTTTGTTTTGGGCCATACCCGACAATGCTCAGAGATTACTCCTGGCTCTGCACACAGGGATCACTCCTGGCAGTGCTCCATGGACCATATGGGGTGCCAAGGATCTACCTTTAAGTTGGCCTTGTGCAAGGCAAGAACCTTACCCACTACATTGTCTCTCTAGCTCCAAGGTTGAGAATTTTTCATTGTATTTTAGTAAGCCCTCAAGGAGATTTAATGAACACTTTATTGAGGACCATTGTTCTTGGAAGTATACCTTGATGTCTAGTAAATGTTTATGTGATGAGTGCTGAATGACTCACCAGGTAGATACTGCTTTTCCAGATGTTTTGGTGTCTCTGGAGAGGCCCTTAGCCAGATACTCCTCCATACTCCAGTCATCTTCTCCCAAGCAAGTCCACTTGAGTTTACAAATGTCCATGAAGCTCTAGTCTCCTGAGAGAATAAAGCCTGAGACCTAGCATGACTATGCCAGCCAATTGGACTTCTCTTCAGAGATCCTGGGCTCCAGTTCCAGAGGAAATTGGCAGTTTATGTAAGGTGAGGATGGGAATTTACGACGTGGCATATGGGGTGAGGGTGGAAATTTGTCCTGGGTGCATATATGTGATATTACATTCAGAGTCTTAGGGAAGAAGCAGATGGGGCCCCAGAAGATGTTTCTACTACTCCTAAAATATTTTTATCTTTCGGCTAAGAATAGTACTGGGTAGTGTTACAACTTCTGGAAGCCAACTGTGACAGCAGAGAGACGGAATGTCAAGGAAGCTTTTATTTTCTCTCCATCCTATGCTAATCTAAATTCCTGGTGCAAAATCAGTTACACGGGCCAGAGTGATAGTACAGCAGGTAAGGTGCTTGCCTAGCATGCAGTTTGATCCCTAGCACCATGTATGGTCCCCTGGATATCTCTGGAAGTGACCTCTGAGTACAGAACCAGGAGCAAACCTATAGAACGGCTGGGTGTGGCCACAGGACCCTCCACTTCCAACCCAATATACACACAATGTAGTATTTTGAAAATAATTCTCCTGTGTTACTTTTTGTTTTTGAATTTGGGTCATATCTTAGAGTTCTTGGGGGTTACTCTTGACAGTGTTTGGGGAACCATAAAGTGCCAAAGTTTGAACCCAGGGTTCCCAGTTCCAAACTTGCTCTCTAGAATGTCAGAACCCCTCTGATTCTTGTTAAACTCTTTCTTTCCACACAAATAGTATCTCTATTCTCTTTCTGAAATTTTTATTTGCAGATAATCTTCATTTTTCCCCTCTATTATAATTACTATAATTTTCTATTTCTTTGCTACTCCTACTCCTTTGGTAAACTTTGTCAGTATTGTCTTTTTTTTCTTTTTGGGTCACACCTGGTGATGCACAGGGGTTACTCCTGGTTCATGCACTCAGGAATTACTCCTGGCCTGCTTGGGTGACCATATGGGATGCTGAGAATCAAAGCTGGGTCAGCCGTGTGCAAGGCAAATGCCCTACCTGCTGTGCTATCGCTCCAGCCCCCAGTATTGTCTTTCAGTCCTTCTATTGACTTTCTCATTACTGCATCAACATTTAATTTTTGTTTTTTTTTTTAATTGGGGGAGCAGTGGTTGGGGTTTATTGGGTTTGATTTGTTTTTTGCACCACACCCCGCAGTGCTCAGAGTTTATTCCTGGCCCTATGCTCACTGTCACTTCTGGCAATGTTTGAGGGACCATAATTGGTGCCAGGGATCAAACTAGAGCCTGCCATGTGCAGGCGTCTTAATCAGACTGTCACTTCGACTCCTTGGTTTTGAGGGGAACCCTATACATATGCTGAGGATTGTACACTCCTCCATTATGCAAAATCTGTACGCCAGCCTGTTGAACTATCTGAACCCCTGAATCAACATTTTAATTCAGTTTTAATTTTTAAGTACCTTGACTTATAGTATTTCTTTTTATTAACACCCTGTTCTCATTTTATGGATGTAATATTATCCTTATCTCCTTAATGATATTGTGATAGTTGATTAGGGACAGTCTAGTCTAATTTGGTGGTAGTTGGGGGCACATCTAATGGAGCTCAGGGCTTACCCTTTGCTCTGCACTCAGGGATCACTCCTGGCAGTGATTTAGAGACCATATAGGGTGCTGGGAATTGAACCCAGGTTGGGCACTTGCACAGGGAGTACCCTGACCACTGTACTATCTCTTAGACCCCCAAATAGTCTAATTTTTAAGTACATAATATACTTAAGTTCAGCAATAGAAATTTAAAAAATTCAAAACATATAAGAAAAGCACTAAAGTGGAGGAAATTGAAGGGATGAATTAGGCTAAGATTGGTTTACCTACCTTTGTTCCTTTCTTGTCCATAATCTCCAATACAAATGACAAAATTTTTGTGTGTGGTGTCCAGTATCAAGCCAAGGGTCTCACACATGCAAGACAAGTTCTCTACCATTGAGCTATATCCCTAGTTCCAGATAACCAATTTTGTTGGTTTTACTGCTCAGTTTTTTTGTGAAAGTTAAAATAATTACATATTTTTCTTATTTAATAAAAAGTTATATTCTTTGGACTAGAGAGATAGTACAGAAGGTTGGGCACTTGCCAGGGGTCACTGGCCCTCCGCCCAGGAATCACTCCTGGCAGTGCTCGAGGGACTGTATGGGATACTGGGAATCGAATCCAGGTCAGCTGCAAGCAAGGGAATCCTCTTACCCACTCTGCTCTCGTTCCTGCTCCTATGTTGATTTTTTTTTATCTTTAATATTACAGTACATGTTATTATTATTATTTTGGTGCTTGGGCCACAGCCAGCTGTGCTCAGGCCTACTCTCAGCTCTGCACTCAGGGATCACTTCTGGAGGACGTGCACCCTACCTGTACTACTATCTCTCTGGCCCCATACTTTAAATCAGTATAGCAGGGGCCATAAATAGCTTTCCCAGAGATATTTGGGAAACCATGTGGTACCAGGAATCAAACTCTGATGTACTGCATGGGAAGTATGACCTCCAACCTTTTGAGCCTCTAATGTGTGTATATATATATTATATATAATATATATATATATTTTTTAAGAGGGGAGGGAAGTCACTCTCAGCAATGCTTAGGGCTAACTTCTGACTCAGTGCTAAGACTTTATTCATTTGAAATCATCAGTTCACATGACATTGCAAACTTCGGGACAGAGATGTTCCCTATAAATTCCAGTGTATTGGCCAGAGTTATATAATACAGCGGGGAGGACATTTACCTTGCATGTGGCCAACCTGGGTTCAATCCCTGGTTTCCTGATCCCTCCAAGAGTGATCCCTGAGTTCAGAGCCAAGGATAAGCCCTGAGTACTGCTGTATGTGGTCCAAAAGCCAAAAATAAAATTAAATAAAATTAAAAATAGGTGAGATAACAAGATATGTTCTTTAATTATATTTTAATTGATTTTTTTAGAAAAGAACTGGATTGTGTTATTGATTTTTTTTAACTTGCTGGTTTTCTTACATTTTATTTATTTCATTTATTTTCTTCCTTCAGTTTACTTTGGATTTGTTTTCTATTTTAGATTCTTTTTTGAGGGAGAGGAGGAGGGGACACACTGGCAGTGCTCAGGGGTTACTTCTGGCCCTATACTCAGGGATCACTCTTGACTGGGCTCAGGGGACCATCTGGGATGCTGGGAATCGAACCTGTGTTGGCTGTGTGCAAGACAAGTGCCCTATCTGCTGTGTTTCTATTTTAGATTTTTTTGTTTGTTTGGTATTTGGGCTACATTGCTTGATGCTCAGGGATGACTCCTGGTGATCCTTGGAGGTCCATATGGAATTCTAGGGATCAAACCTGGTCAGCCATATGCAAGGAAGGCAAATGCCTTACCCACTGTATTGTCACTCTGGCTCCCATTTTAGATTCTTGACATATGAACTTAAATTCCATTATTTAATAAGTTCATTCCTCTTTTCTGATGTAGTGCTATGAATTTCTTTCTCAGCATTGCTTCCTCTCTATTCTACAAATCTTTGTGTTCCCCTTTCTGTTAGTTCAGTATCTTTTCTAAAATTTTAGTTGAGAATTTCAAAAATAGTTTTCAATATAACTGGCTTGATTTGTGGGTTATAGAAGTATGTTGTTTGATTTTCAGTTATTTTGTGACTTTCCAGATAACTTGTTTTTATTTTCTACAATTGATTTTTCTGTTCTGCTATTGATGTTTAGCTTCATCCCTTCATGCTCAGAGAACATGTTTTATATTATTTCAATTCTTTTTAATTTATTGACGTTTGTGCAGCCTAGAATATGATCTTTCTGGGTGAGGGGTGGGTGTTTGCTTTGCTTTTGCCCAGTATTGTTCAGGTTTTACAGAGCTTATTTTTCTGAGTACTTGAAAAAAATATGTGTCCTACTATTATTGACTGTGGTAGTCTACACAGGAGGGGCTCACCAAGCCCCACCTCACGGCTCTCAGCAGACGCGGGTGTGCCGGGCCAGAGATCACAGGCTGGACAGAACCAGCGGGCCTGGACACTGAAGGCCTGGTCATGGGGGTCTAGTGTCCCAGGGAGCAAGGTAGCAAGTGTGTAGCATGTAGCATGTGGCATGTAGCATGTAACCCCGGGGTATGGGACACCTGGCACTTTTCCCAGGTCATGCCGGCACTGGCCGTTTCTACACAGGTGTTCATGCATCTGGGAAAGATGAATGTGGGGCTAGTTTAGGGTCACGGGCGAAGGAATCAGGAGCCTGGGTGCTGGCAGAGCTCTGAGGGGCGCGGGGACTCAGGGGCCCGTCCCGCCGTAGTTTCTGCTCTAGCTCCTCACCCACCTTGGGCACGCCCACCTGCCATGATCGCTCCAGAAGCTACAGGAATGCCGAGGGCGGCATAAGTGCTGTGCAGGTGACATTCGGAAGAATCCAGAAGAGGAGGGGATGGGGAAGAGAGAGAAAGACAGAGACAGAGACAGAGACAGAGAAGGAGAGATACAGAGAGAGACAGACAGAGAGACTGAGAGAGGGATGGAAAGATGGAGAGAGTTAGGGAAAGAGAGACACAGAGACAGGGAGAGACAAACACAGAGAGAGAAAGAGACAGAGACAGTGAGAGATAGAGATAGAGAGACAGAGACAGACAGCGACCAAGACCGAAGGTTGGAAGTAGGTGCGGCTTCGCTCCGGCTGGGGCAGAGGACCCAGGGGCCATTTGCCATCTCTGGGCAGCCAAAGGCACGTGGTGCAGGCCAGCGGTCGTGGGGTACTCAGCGGGACCATCTTTGCAGGCGGAGAAGGGCAGATGAGGCGGGCACCCAGGGCAGCAAAGCAGGAGCATCTCTTAGATGAGCGGCAGCACCCAGAGCCTCTGGCCCCATCAGGCAGGGGAGAAACCGCTGGTGGGAAATCACTCACCGGGCACCTGTGTCCACCCCCCCTCTGGACTTGTCAGAAGATTTCCAGAGATGCCCCATAGTCTAGGAGAGACCAAGTCTCCCGTCTAGAAATGTTCATTCTCCAGGATTCCTAGCTATCAAACAGCTATACTATATTTTATTCAACAAATCATGATTCAGAA